TCTCTTTCGCTTCACTCTCTGGTCAAATTGAAGAATAATAAAAATAAATCATTCTTTTAAAAAGAATGCTTTCTTGGCCTAAACAGTGATTTCTTTTTTACTCCTCCTAATTTGCTACTAGCCTGGATGGAAGTCATAAACGCCTGAGGCTGTATCCCTCAGCATTCCTGAGGAGGCTGGAAGGAAGCAGCCTGGTAGTTATCTTCCTTTCCCAGTAGAGCAGGCCCGTTATTTAAACATAGCAGCTGCTACATAAAATAGACATGAAGCACCTGGGTCAGACCAAGCAGTGGCTTGCTTCACACACTCGAAGAGTTTTTTCTCAGAATTTGGTGAGAGTCCGCAGATCGATGACCACACCCTCCTCTGCACTGCGCATGGCACCGGCCTTACAGGCTGGCATGTTTTCATGATGCCCTTGCCCAAGGAAAACAGCAAGGACAGCACAGCCCACCTGCAGGGCTCATGCTGTCTGAGAGGTACTCAGCTGAAACCATCATAGCACGCCACACCATGGTCGATTTGGGGGCAATAAAAGACTTTTTTGGCCAGTCACGGTGTTGGTGTAGTCATGCAGTGCTCTGTGATGCTGAAGCCATATAGGAAGTCCTGTATCCATGTCCCATGGCCTCCCTGAACACCCAGGGATGCATACATGCCTGTGCTTCCGCATGGCTGAGAGTAGACTGTGATTCAAGACCCCGTTGCCGGGCAGGGGGTGCCTCTCTCCCTCCCTCTCTCTCTCACACATGGAAAAAATGATGAATGGAATTTTTTTTAAGTCTTATTTCCATAATGGGTGTTGCAGTACTGCCTTTTCTTTCAGCGGCATCTTCCTAATCACTTTACAGTATCTCTTGTCCCATGATTTCCCCAAACTCCCCATCACTGTGAGCATTGACTTCCAATATGTGCTGATCGTGGATGTCTTGAAATCTGAGGATATTTTTACCCTTAACCTCCCTCGTATACACATACGCACATAAGAATCTTGGCCACAGAAAAAGGACACCGATTCTGTTATTCGCAAAGCCAACGAGCTGTCATTGCATGAGATTCAGCGCCCTTGGAAGAGGAGCTAACTGTAAAGACGTAGGCCCACTCTGCATGATGGCTTTGTACTATGCGTGTTTATAGTATTATAAATTTCACACTTCCGTATTTCTGCACTTACAAGGGCTTAATCATAATGAATGCCATTTCTGTATTTTTCTTCAGGAAGAAAAATTACCATTTCCACATGGACTTGAGTTGCAAAATTATTCACAGAAACTGTGCAGTTCTGCTCCTGCTTTAATGGCTATAATGATTTCTTTGTAGCTTATTCAAATAACATAATTTATGCTTAAAAATATAACACCCTTAAAGTGTACTTCAGTGAACTTGAGTCTAGTTCTAATAGTCTTAAGAATTAAAAAAAAAAAAAAAGTTTAAAAAGGTATAATCCTGGACTAGCAGGTAGCATGGAGGTTAAGGTGTTGAATCCTGCAATGGCTGACTTTGCAGTTCAAGTCCCAGACCTGGTGACTTGAAAATCACACCAGGTATATTTGCGTATGTGCCCAAAATCCCAAGAGGAGACTGGAAGAGAAGGGTGTGGCCATGCTCCCCTGAGAGGTGATTTCTCACTTTTTTTTCTGTCTCTGGCAAGCACACATGCCATATAGCAAAAAATAAAAATATGTGTTAAAAAAGGTATAATTCTTTCTTTCCCAAATAGAGTAAGTATAATATCTATGCAAGTTTATTCATAGGCTAGAAATACATTATTTGTTTATGAATATGAGTGATTTTTCCAGTTATAAGAATTTATTCATCTGTGGTTTTAAGTTTTTCTTTTTTTAGAGAGATTTTTTGCTATTGGGCATGTGTGCTCAATGGAGAGACAGAGACAGACATAAAGCAAGAAGTATGGCCATCCCCCTGGGGGCAATTTCTCACTTTCCCTCTCTCTGTCTCTGGCAAACACATACACCCTACGGCAAAAAACGGGAAGAAAAAAGAGTAGAACACTAAATAATTATATATAATTTACATATACAGATAAGACATGTGCTTTATATATGACATTTTTAATTGTGGCACTTCTGATTTAATCATTGACAGAAAATTTCCAATCTGGACACCTAAATCAAACATTAGCTTTGTTAATTGTACAAATGAGAATATTAGTTTTCATAACTCTTCAAATTTCTGCCAGTGTTGTCTATAAGCTCATAAAAGTAATCCCCCAGTATGTAATAGGTTCACTTAAAAGTTTCTGTGTTGGCCATATGAAACTCAGGACACACTTTGTTATAAATCATGGTCAGGCTCTAGGTAAAAAATGGCCAGATCATAGACAGGAAGAAAGTTGAGAATCCTGGGAAAGAATTGTCCAGAGTTAAGGAAGTAAAAGTGAAAGAGTTATAGCAAGACCTCTTCTTGTTTGGTATATAAGTAACTTGAAAAAAATAGGGAGAAATGCAAATACACAGGGTGTTCAAAAAGGTTCACGGGAAATGCATATTATGAAAAATTACGGATTTCAAATGTGTTTTGTGCCAAAATAAACTCATGCTTTAATTCCCTTTTTCCCTAGTATACTTTAATGGGTAAATTATGTGGTATCTAAATCATATTCCAATGAAGCTATTTTGTTTAGCTGAAGAAATTTTAGTTTCTTAAGGTTAAGAAATAAACTTTGCCTGACCTTGGGACCAGCAGATGGTGTAATGGTTACGTCACTGGACTCCCACGCAGTCGACCACGGTTCCAGTCCTGGACCCAGCGGCCTAAAACTCATGCCGAGCACGTGTATGTGCATGCCCAAGATCCCGAGAGGAGAATGGAGAAGTGATTGTGGTGTGGCCATCCCCCCTGGGGGGTGATTTCCCACTTTCTGTCTCCAGCAACAGCACATACCCTAGAGCAAAAATCTCTCTAAAGAAAATAAATAAATAAATAAACAATAAACTTAACCTGACCTCAAGTCATCTGCTTTTACCTATCCATATTTTATGGATGGATGAATGTATCGACAGAAAACAGGCAGATCAAGTGACAAAGAGGAGAATGTAGGCGCACTGGAGAAGTGATTATATCAGGTCGTCCGGAAAATCATGACATTTTTCTATGCAAAAATGCATCATGACTTTCCTGATGACCCAGTAGATCAAACCTGCATTACAGATGTAGTCTTCATGGGCCGCGATATAATAAATACTTTCTGGATATGCGACGTAACGAATGCATTAAAGGACCAGCCAACGAACTCTTTCTTTCCTCCCTTGGCCAATAGGACCGCAGAGAGATGCCCAGGCAGCTCGAGAATTCATCCTGAAGATGTTCGTGGACCTGAACCCAGACAGTGACAAAATTATCTACTCCCACTTCACATGCGCCACAGACACCGAGAATATCCGCTTTGTCTTTGCTGCCGTCAAGGACACCATCCTCCAGTTGAATCTGAAGGAGTACAATCTAGTCTAATTGTGCCTCCTAGACACCCACCCTCCCCTTCCCTGGTGGGCTATTGAAGATATACAAGAGGGACTGTATTTCTGTGGAAAACAATTTGCATAATACTAATTTATTGCCGTCCTGGACTCTGTGTGAGTGTGTCCACAGAGTTTGTAGTAAATATTATGATTTTATTTAAACTATTCAGAGGAAAAACAGAGGATGCTCAAGTACAGTCCCAGCACATTTCCTCTCTATCTTTTTTTTAGGCAAAACCTTGTGACTCAATGTATTTTAAATTCTCAGTCATGCGCTCACAAAGATAAGAGTTGTTTTCTCTCTCTCTTTCTCTCTTTTTCTTTTCTATTGAGTAAAACAAAGCTGATTTCCCCTTTTCCTAATCCGCGCCTCCTTCCTGAGTTTTCCCAGGTTTCAATGGCCTTTATCCTAGTGCCATTCTTGGTCAAGTTTTTCTCTCGAATGATACAGTCAGGACAATGTCATTCGATTTAAGCCATCATACGTCAGCTTAATTTAACAGTTTGTAGTTTTTGCTGAAGGATTATACGTATTAATACTATGGGTTTAAATGTATTGCTCTGGATACACACATAGAGTTTCTTTTTTAATCTATATATTGTCTTGTCTCACTCTGGACTGGGACAGTGGATGCCCATCTAATGGTTAAGTGTCATTTCTTTTGGATTTTTACCTTCGGCCATGGCTTGATTGCTCAGAGAAATGTGCAGATGTCAGTAAGGCAAGGGCAAAGACAGACAAGGTCCTTTTCTTGAAATGTCATGTGCCATTGTCTTCCCTCCCTTCTTTGCCTTTTGCTTATTTTTCCTCCACCTCTCTTTATAAATTGCAGATGCCAAAAAATATGCCAACAGACACTACATTACCCCAGTGGCTGCTACCCAGAACCTTTTCATAAGTTGTTCTTTTTTTTTTTTTTTTTGGTTCAAACCGTCTCTCTTTTTTTTCCCTTCGTGTTTGGGCCACAGTTTTAAAGTGACTTTTATTATAGGTATGTGTTGCCAAAGCTGGCTTTTTGTTAAACAAAATGAATAAGAACTTTCGAAATGAAAGCCGGTGTCTTAACACATAAGGGAGTAAAGACTGTGAAGCCTAAAATGGCTGACTGAGAATGAACCGGTGACACCAATTGCCAACAGTTGGTAACTGTCCATTTGAGTCTCATGGTCCATCTTTTCCTTTGCCTCAATAGTGCATTGTTTAGTGTCCACGTCCCATGCTGAGTGTCCAAATGGGCAGTGTACAAAAGCAGCCTGTGTGGTTTACATGAAATCTGCTTGTCTCCTTGTGTGAAGCCAATTTCACTTTTTTTTGTATTCTTTAAGTTCAAATAAGTCTGCCAAGCGCATCGGTTGATAGTATTATTCTGACACCTTTCATTTGCAAAATCCAAAGTTATTACCAGTTTACCACCTTCGAGATCTTCTTAGACTGGTGACTGGATAAGCTGAACTTAAAGAGATTTATGGACTTACAAGTAACCTCTCAGTGTTCTACAGAACATGTATTTACGTAACTGAACCTGCTAGGAGAGGCATTTGGAGTTCTGTGTGTGCAGTTTTTCAACAAATGCAAAAAATACAGCACATGTAACTGAACCTGCTAGGAGAGGCATTTGGAGTTCTGTGTGTGCAGTTTTTCAACAAATGCAAAAAATACAGCACATGTATTGATGAGCTTCTGTCCAGCAGTTTGAGTTGTAATGTGATTTAAGAAAATAAATTCTCCTAGTTTTAAAGCTGCTGGGAAGTTTTGGGCCAAGGTGCTGGACTCATTCTAACTATAGAACTATTTGGCAGTAGTCAAAGCATCCATAGAAATCACTCTTTCAGAACGACAGAGGGGAGAGAGAACATGAGCGCCCCACTGGATGAGCACCACAGTTACTAAACAATGACAAGATGTTCTCATTCTTTGCTCTCCCAGCCACACACAGCACAGGTTACTTTTCCCCCCTTGCTCAGAAAGCACCTGTCATTTCATTTCCTTCACCTGCCTGTAGGTGTAGTGCAATTCCGAATGCTCTAATCATTGTGCGTCTATCTCTCTCCATCTGGCAGCCTCCATACCGGCTTTGTAATCATTAATTTTTTGGCAGATTGAATGTGCTGTATTGATATGTATCTATGTAATTGTATGTCTTATAGCTAATTCACATTTTGAATAATGTTATTTTATTTACTTTTTTAAGAGAGGAGAATGTAAATTTGTCAGTTTATTTCTGACTAGGGATATTTTTTTCCATTTAGAGAAGAAGAAAAACAAAAACCTTACTATCGTACAGAGCGGTACTAGCATCGTGCTGTATAAAATCATTTGCACATTCCTGAGTAGAGGTATACTGATTCTAAGACCCAAAGGTAATTTCATAGCAAAATACATATAAAATCAGTCGGAGCTTTTATACAAACATGGAAACCAACTTTGTAGAACTTTTGCCACTTGATCTAGGATTGGAATATGAGCTTTTATACACTTCATATTCTTCTTTGGCAAATGCACAGTTTAGCATTACCTCTCTGATGGCCTTTATTAGAAAGGCAGTTTTAGAAGCTATTGTGATCCACTAAGGAAATGTTTTAACAGCTAGAGACCACTGCTTGCCTGAAAGGGCGATCTTAAATTTGGTGCAGCAAAAAAATATAAAATAATAAAAATTAAAAAAAAAAAGTCAACAACAACATTGGAAGGCCTACAGTGTGTATAGAGAAAACCTCATCACAAGATCTTAAGTGTTACAGTTTTAGGGAATCAAGATATTCTATCTAATAGAGCTATAGTAGATGTAGGCGATTAAACCTGATCTCAAAGCTCGAAGCAGCTGAGCAAAACAGGGAAAGATTGTTCTATTTGTCTTTATGAAATTGGAATGGAATTTGCTATGCAGAATTGAGGTTTGTAGCTTCGCTGTTCTTCCTAGGGTGCATGACAAGATCCCTTCTCTTGAGAAAGGAAAAAATTGATCACCCTAGCAGCAGTGATGCATAGAAACCTAATCGTATCCACACTAGTCAATCGAAGCTAAAGGATTTTCTTTTCTGTTTCTTTGTTTGGGGTTTTATTGAAGGGGCTGGGGCGGGAAGGGATTCTTTTCAGTTTTGTATAAAAAACAAAGTTTACTCCTGCTTTATATTATATTGTGATTGCAAGCGTTGTAAGCGTCTGCCACTGAGCTCCTGTTGTTGATGCTCTAGGTAATGGAGCTCTGTGGCGAGTTTTATGGTGACTTGGGCATGTCTTACTCAAAAACACAGAAACCTGTCTTCAGCATACCAAGGCAAGCGGCCATTTCATGACTCACTTAACACATTGCAGTGTACCAGTTTACAGATGATTTTTCCCTTTTTTGCGTGACATGGCAGTTCCAACCCACAAAGAATCCTTATTTGTAAATTGGAGGTTTCTACGATGCCTTACAGAGCTTAAATTCAAAGTTTGTGCCTCATCTCTGAAACAAAGGGAAATAACACACCCATTCAAAAGTAAATCAATCCCCTAGAAGTTTCTTGTTTTTGTTTTCGTTTTGAACATTTCCATGATAAAGAGCTCTGTTGAATGTCATGAATAGACTGGAAAAACCGAATCTTGGGAACCTGCATATGTTGTTTACTAACAGTTGACATCTACAAAAGGTATTTGAAAAACACCTGAAACTTGTATCTTCTTTTCTTTCGTTTTATTTTGTAGATTAAGTAGCCAGCCTGTATTTGACCAAGGTAATCCAGTTAAAGGGCGATTTACTTTTTGTACTTCAGACTATCTTGATCGTCAAGGTGTGCGAACTGTAATTTTGAAATTTATACTGCCATATGATTGTAAAGTTTAGTTGTCTTAAGTTAGAATTGGTGAAAAGCTATTTATGCTGGATTTGGATCAAAATTATTTGCAAAAAATAAAAAAAAAAATGGGAAGAAAGGGCTGCATAACGAGACTGCAAGACTCAGATACCGGTTGGAAATTACCCTCTGATTACCTTCAGATTACCCCCGATTTCCCTTTGTTTTCAGTTTCTCAAACAGAACGAATGAAATGAAATATAGCAGAATGTTAACCCGTATAAAAATAAAGTGTACCCAAATATTGTAATGTATATTGCTGCTCTTCTTAAAATTAAATAAGGGTTTAAAACCACTTAATTGGTAATGAACAACATCTCAGTTGATACAAATAAGGTGTGCTTGGTATACTTTAATATTTTCTTCCATATATTTTCTTTGGTTGGAAACACACACACAAAAAAATGAAAACTAGTAATATTGTACGTTTATCTATCTCTACGTATTTCCAGCATATGTAGCGTTAATAGATCTGTCCTGGTAACTGTGTCTTTGGTTTTCATTTGGGTTCCATCAAATTAGGAAAAGAAATGGCTTAGTTGTATATGATTAGCTAGAGATTTTCAGAGCCAGACACCTGCTGTTTAGTAGATAACTTAGTACCGAGTTGAAATGTGTCTTTTGTTTTTCTCACAGAATAACAAACCATTTCCCGCTGTCTACTCAACTACCACCGCCCTTTCAATAACTCTTCCCTCTAGAATCATATGTTCAAAGTATACATACACACCTAGCACATAGTAGGTGCTCAAATACTAATTTCCTCCTTACCTTCCTTATCTACCATGTATTTTCCATTTCCCCATGATTCCAACCCAATAGGAAGTGACATTTACATGTTAGGAAAACATCTATTGGGTCACATTGGATCTTACTTGGATAAAGGAATTCTGACTTTCATATAAGCTTTTGGTAGAAAAAATAATAACAGGCAGGAAGGGATTCTTGAGTAGAGTATTTTTACATTTAGGAAAAAAAGATGGAAACTTACCATGTAACTTTGTCCAGGTTACTTTCACTGAAGCCCATGTTTTTGGTGGATTTCTTTTCCTCAGAGAACTCTCTAAATGCAACTTCTTGCTGGATTCCTTCCTGTCATCATGTTGGAAACCCTTACTAGACCTATGTATTTAGGGAGTTTTGTCAGAAAACATTTTTAACTTGCAGTATTTCAAAGAATCATATTTACTGTTCTTAAAATGTCATTCAAATGCATGTATTGTCTATTGTTGGGGGATGGGAACTAGTTTTGCAAAAAACACCTAATGTTGTATAATAATGCCCCAATGATCTTGCTGGTTAAAAATACAGTATTTTTGGCCATAATTTTGTACTATAGTATTCTTCATTCTTGAGTTTTGCTTCCCTTGAAGTTGCCTAAGCCCCTCTCAGAATGATTCTTTTTAGAAGGAGTCTTAGATCACATCTTTTCTTTCTTAAAACATTTTATAGTACATATTTGTTTTCCAAAGTAGACAGATTTAATGATTTCTTAAAAAAACACACAAAAATCTTTTTCTGTGTATAATCTGATCGATTTCCTATAGTGGAAATATCGTGGTAGTATTTATCAGATTTACTCTTTAAAAAGAAATATGCCCTAGTTTAGTTTATAATCAACTGTTTCAAAATGTAATTGGCTACTCTATAAAGACATAAGGCAATCTTCTAAGTAGTAGGAAGACTCCTCGATTTCCCACCTGGTTCCCTAGATAGCCCATTGGACTAGAGGCAGATGCCCAGCTTACACCCATGGTAAGTGGGTTGGCTCCACACAGAAGAAAGATTTGACATAGGTGCGTCTGACCTTTAAAAAGACACATCTAGATTATTGAGACCAGTTAAAAACTACCTTTCCTCCCAGTAGGAGTTTTATGCTGCTGGATTGATGGTAACAAGTGTTTTCTAGAAAAGGTTTATGTGGGAGCTTAAAACTGGGCAGAGTAGAACCTGTTCCTGTTACTTGTGATCCGAGTCTCTCCCACTGGCAGCGCAGTGCTTGCTCAGGGAGTCTTGTGATTTCAGGATACGCTGTTCCATCCACATACTTTAGAGAAGAGAGTGTTATTTCTGGTGTAAGGCTCTCTTACACGTTAAGGGGCCATTTATGGTAGATGGTGTCCCCTCTGTCTTGCCCTAAGGGAAGGATGTCACTAGGAACTGTTTTTTAGGACAGGCCTGGGGTGATCAGTTCTCATGCTTGTCTGCTGAGCGGATACACACCGGGGAGAGGAGGGGAAGGATCCATCTTTGTGGCTTTCAGACCTGGGCTTGACCACTCTAGGACTGAGGTCAATCTCTCATCATCTTGAAGACTGCTCAGCCTGGAGGAAAAAAGGGAAAAAAAAAAATGAACATTATTTGGGCCAAATATTTGAACTTGACCTTTTGACTCCCTGAGCAGATCCGCTCCATCAGACTTACTCTGTCCTATATTTCTGGAAGCAATAAAACTAGTTGGCCGGAAAGCTTCTCGGCCTCGTTCTTTATCTTTCTTTCCCTCTCCTATTTTCCCGTTAGGTTGTGATACTCTGAGCCACCTCTTGAGAGACCGAGTAAACCATAGGCAGAAGGGGTCGCGGGGAGGCGTGATGCTAAGGACCAGCCATGGTGCATTCTATAATGTGCACAGAGCAGTTGCAGATGGTCAGTGAGCCGGGTTTTTGCTTTCCCCTTTTGTTTAATTTTGAATCATTGCCATCCTCGTCAGTGTTTCCATATTTAAAGGCCTTATTGAAATGTGATCAGGCTTGCAGATTGGAGGCAGTGGTTGGTTGATTGTTGGTCGGTTTCTGGCTAAATGATCTATGTGTTGCCATCCTTCCTTTGTTTCATTGCCATGGCTAATTAAGACGGATCCAGTTATTACAAGGAACTGAACACAGGCCATTTTCAGGGAGCCTCATAGACCCCTGCGAAACAAGGCCCTGTTTATGAAATGCAAGTCTCGGTAGAATCTAAGGTTCTAGGAGTAAGAAGTATTACTGAAAAGATTCTTTTGAATTCTTATGCCTCAAGACTTGAAATTCAATCAGTGTTGATTTTTCTCTCTTCCTGCTTCCCTAAAGTAGTCAAAGGCCAGAGTGTTTTTTCTGTATCATAAGTCTGTGGATAAAAATAAGGCAATTTTTTAAAAGAATTATTTAACTTTATTTATTTATTTATTTATTTATTTATTTATTTATTTTAATTTGAACACAGAGGGACAGAGAGAGAGAGAGAGAGAGGGAAAGTGAGAAAGCAAGCCTCCAGGTCCAGGACTTGAACCACAGTCAGCCATGTGGGAGTTCACCTGCCAGCCCTCAACTTACTCTTTTTTAATAAGACAGTTGCGCTAACCCTGCTAAACAGAAGCGGATGGCAGGGCTTCCTGGGGGCAAGCCCCTGCAGCCCCATTCTAGCCCTCCTTCCCAGCCCTGGGAGAATTACTACTGCAGCTCAGAGGACGGGCTTCTGTTGGCAGAGTGCTTAAAGGGCCACTGGGGCTTTCCATCTGTCTCCAGTTTGCTCAGTATATGTGTATGGTGGGTCTTTAGAGGACCAGGAAAGACAGATGGGCAAGTGAGGCTTGGCACAGCCTGGAGGTCTGCAAGCGGGGATTCCACACCACGTTCCAGCTGTCAGGTAGCTGCCATAGCTGCTGACAAGACTAGGTGCACCTGACCTAGGAGGCAAGCCTGTTAGGAATCCCAGCACCGTCATCCACCATGCCGTGCAGTCACAGCACCAGTCTGGGCTGGCAGGACCTGCCTGAGGTGCAGGTGCCATGTCAAGGCAGCTTGCACCTGTGGTTATAGTCTGCCAGTCATGGCAGCCTTAGCAACATGGGCCTGCTTGCTCTGAGTGGGTTGCACTTGGCCCTCTCAGTGGTATCCTAGTAAATGGATCACAGTGGGGCTGGGACAGGGCAGGTTACAGGGTCATACTGATTTGAAATATGTGCCGGCTTTCATGCACATCCTACCACGTTCAATTTTAAGCGGCCAGTGTGGTGTCACTGAACTGGAGTTGAGAGGAGATGCTGACACCGGCTCTCTTGAGTCCGCTCCAAGTTGCCCCTGCATGCCACATTGGGCTCCATAGAATAGGGCCCTTCAGCCACAGGAAGATGTCAGCAGTAAAGGCCCACCTGGCTTACAGCCAGAGCACGTGCACTCCCTCCCCTGTGACTTGGAGCTAACCAAAACATCCCCACTGGGGAGTCATTTCTCGCTTTCTCTGTCTCTCCAGGGAGCAAACATGCCCTATGGCAAAAACCTCTACAAAAAAGACAGAATGGAGAGCCCAGGTACCTGCGCGATGGAGAGTAGGTTAAGGGTTCAGAATGCAAAATTGATTTGACAAAAGAGTTACCTTATACCGCTTCTGTGTGTGATAGCTCAGCATTTCCCAGCAGCTCAGTCATTGCTGAATGAAGTGGAAAAAAAAAACACACACACACAAATGCTCATGTCCACTAGGAGAGATTAAGCCCCAATTTTTTTTTTTTGGGGGAGGGTTGTGAAACGTAATCTCTATAGGTATGTGGGTATACGTGTAGAACCTAAACATGGTTTGCTCTCACTGCTCTGGTGTCTGCAAGTATACATGCGCACATACACACACATACACATACATGAATGAGCACAGTGAGACTTGCTTGTCTCTGAGGTTGTTCCAAGCATTTGCCTCACAGAAAATAATTTTCTTTTTGGAGAGGTTTTTGCTCACTAGAAAGAGACAGAGAGAAAGCGAGAAATCACCCCCCAGGGATGGCCATGCCGCAATCCCTTCTCCTCCATTCTCCTCTTGGGATCTTGGGCATGCACGCACACGCGCCCGGCGTGAGTTTAAGCCACCAGGTCTGGGACTCGAACCATGGTCAGCTACATGGGAGTTCAGCGACATAGCCATTACACCAACTGCTGGTCCCACAGAAAATAATTTTCATATTGGAATGATTAAGACAGGATTATAATACCCGCTGCTAACATTTTCTTTTTGAAAAAAATGATTCTCTGTTACAAGTCTGCTGGTGGCATCTTCTCAGAGCCCTGCCCTAATCTAGGAAAAGACACCTAATTACAGCCACTTGCCAGTTTTTAAACAGAAGGGGTTGCAGGGCAGCTGAACCTAGGCTGGGGCTTCAGTGTCACTGAGCAGTGGGGGGAGGGGTGTTTCCAGTAGACGGGGAGGAAGGCTATCAGAAAACGCAGAAGCGGGGTGAACCGCTAACAGCAAGGCCAGCCCGCACGTCTCTGCCACACATTATTGCAGATGTCACCCTTGCCATTCTGGATGAAGTCTTCTCCAGGTAGACTGCTCACGTCCTGCTAAAGAGGGTGAATTCACAGAACACCAGGCACAACCCACACAAGTGCTTGCAGAGAACCATGCGCCACAAACATGCCGAGTTTGGGGACTGTGCTCTTCTGTAATAACTGTCAAAACTGCCGAGGGTGCCCTGTCCTTCCGTGTCCGTTGGTCCACAAGGGGTCACTGCAGGCCATGCTCTCTGGGCAGGTGTCGCCTGCATCCAGACAGCAGACGCCAACGCCCAGGAAGGGCTCTCAGCCTGCCAGGACAGAGTTGGTGGAACACCCTCCAGCTTCTTGGCCTCAGTGGACAAACCCGAGGCTTGCATCACAGTCTCTCAGAGGGTCCCCAGCAGGGCCGACTCAGGTGCTCCCCTGGAAGCCTGCTCATCAGCGGGCACTTTATTGGCTTCTTTCTCTCCCCATCTCACTTTTACGTCCTTACTGGACTTCCTGCAGACGCTTCTCAAACTCACTAAAATCCTTTACCCAGTGTCTACCTTGGGGACAATTCCCAATTAAGACTGAGGCTCAGTGGCTGGCTAGCGTGTGTGAGGATGCAACCACAGGGACCTCTCCAGGACTGGGATAATGAGTGGGTCCCAACTATGGCTAATAGACATTGCTGGCCCAGCCCATGGCATTGTGGTTAAGGCGAATGGATCCTACATGGCTGGCCATCTGGTCCAAGTCCTGGGCCGAGGTTTGGGAAACACTGCACATGTGTGTTCTTCTGTTCCATAATCCTGAAAGCAGGGAGAGACCGAGGAGAAGGGATTGCAGCAGCATGACCAGGCCCCTTGGGGGTGCTTTCTTACTCCTCCCTACCAGTGACTGTATGCACCCTCTGACAAAAAAAAAGGAAAAAGAAAATGCTTTATAACAGTAACTTTGTCTTGAATGGGTTTCCATCTGCAGCTAATGGTCAAGGTCCAAGATTAGTACCTGGAGCCCTATTCTGAAATCAATCTGCTACAAAAGCATATATGTGTGTGTGTGTGTGTGTGTGTGTGTATAATATATATATAC